TAGATATATATATATATATATATATATATATATATATATAGATTATATATATATATATATATATATATATATATATATATATATATATATATATATATATATATATATATATATATATATATATATATATATATATATATATATATATATATATATATATATATATATATATTTGAGCCATTTTCCACTATATATTTTACCATTTTCAGTCAATATTACGTTGAAAATTTTGGTATTTATATTTTATTCTCCAAAACATCTAATTGCTTACATTTTTTTATTTTCTACATAAAACCTTTTATTTTGGTCATTTTGTGTTTCTTCATTCTTTTTCTTAAATGTCTTCCGGTAGTTCAAACATCCTAAGATTACAAACATCTTTACAATCCTATTATTGTTGAGAATTTGAACTATCGGAAGACATTTAAGGAAAAAATGAATAAATTGAAAATGACAAAAATAAAAGGTTTTTATTCAGAAAATTTAAAAAAAAATCTAAGTAATTAAATGTTTTGACGGAAAAAAAAAAAATTCCAAGTAAAATTGACCGAAAATGTTCAAAAATATTGTGTAAAATGGCTCAAACAAATCCTTATATTTATAGGTTTAGCAGGGGTATTTTCGTCAAATTTTGAAAAAAATATAAGAGCAGGGGTGTTTTTGTATTTATGTGTAGTACAGGGGGGTAAATGATACAAACTCCATAGTACAGGGGTGTTTTTGTATTTAACCCTTTTTTTATGCCTTTTCTTATCCCTTTTCTTTTACCCCATTTAATTCCAAAACTACGGCGTTTCAATCCTTCCCTCCAATCAGCCTTTCCAAATCTTTTCTTTTTCATTTATTTTCCAAGCAGCTCGACCGCGAGGCGTGTGCTTCATTTTTATTTTTCTTTTATTCTGCTCACTGCAGAACGACGTCGTTTCGACCACCTCTCTAAATTTCCCCTCCTTTGTCGCCCGGCGGGCACCGCCTCTTCGATCAATGCTTAGCCCCACTTGATCGTCGGCGCCTACAAATTCTGACTGCCACATCCAGCTTCTCCCCCATCCCTTGTATTGTCCCTTCACTTGATTCAAGTTTCGAAAAACATTATTGCAGTTCAAGTTCCCATGGTAATCGATAGGTATCTTCAATTTTTGCTCCGATTTTTTCTTCGTTCACTTTTTCTCCGCCTCTGCCCTGTGAGCAGCGTTGATGCTCGCCGACGCTGGAAGCGGCGAGCCCCTCTCGTGGTCGGCTACCGCAGGGCGGTAGTGCAGGAGCTTTTGCGGGAGGCGTCGCCGGAGATCGAGGTCAGAGAAGAAGTCGTCCCAGCCCGTAGGGTGAAGATCGCCAGGTTAGTTCATATATTCATTGTTAATGAGTATCGAATTTTTGTTTATCGTATTCTTTTAGCTTTTTTTTGGAATTGAAAAAGGATAACACACGAAAATATTGGCAGTAGCCAATTTTGTCTGCCCCACTCGCACTCTCTCACTTGCCGTTTGCTCAAAGATTAATCATCGTCACCATCAACAACTTGTAACGATATTAACATAATGGGGGACGAAACGGCGTCGTTTGGGGAGAAAACGTGAGTCACTTTAAGAAACGCGTTAAGGATAAACGCGAAGAAGGGAGTTGGAAGCCAGCTGAATTCAGCTAACCAGAGGACGACACGTGGCAAGGCAGTTAGAACTAAATTTAGCTGAATATTGTTAGTAGTCTATAAATAGCAGTTTAGTTAGTGTTAATGGTTGTCGATTAAGTAGAGAAATATCTTCTCTGTAATTCACTATCACTTTATGAATAATACGGGAATTGTTGGGGAAGAAGGACTGAGTTCTTAACAATTGGCCATCAGAGCTGATTCTGGCACCACGGGCGACCACAAACCCTAAGGAATGGCGAAAAACAACACACGAGTGGAAGCGGTAGAACAACAGCTGGGGACGATGGAAGACCAGATGAAATCAATGGAGCAGCACGTGGCGAGTCTATTCGGAGGACAACAATCGCTACGAACGGAGTTAACGACAGAAATTGAGGAGAAAATTGCAGAAGCTACTCGGAAATCGGAGTCACGGTGTGATGAGATGGCCAAACGGTTCGATGAATTAGGGCGTATTATGGCAGGGATGCGTGGTAAGGACTCGACCGGCAATGGCGGTTCACCAGCTAACACCACTGCGGCGGCGGCGCGTGGCCGTCCAGAAGCCAGCATGCCTTACACTATATCGATGCACCGACAAGGGGGCGAATCGCACAATTACGGAGGAAATTTCAATGCGGTTCAGAAGGTTCCTAAACTGGATTTCCCTCGTTTCCCCGGGGATGGATCCGCAAATGCCAGAAATATTTTTCGATTAATCGGATGGCGGACCACGAACGTATTGTGTGGGCATCAATGCACATGGAAGGTAAGGCAGACCATTGGTTTGCCGATTACTTGGAGGGTAGAGATCCGGTTGATTGGCACACGTTTGTGGAAATGGTTCTGGAAAGGTTTTGTGAGGAAGAAGAGGAGAGTTTGGTAGAGACTTTCAACAAACTGAAACAGGAACACTCAGTGGATGCATATAGGGATAAATTTGAAGAACTCAAGGCGTTCATGTTGCACACGAATCGAACTCTATCGGAGGCATATTTCATTAACAGTTTCATCAGTGGTTTGAAGGATGAAATCAAGAGTATGGTGAGGCTGCTCAAACCTCAGACGTTGAAGGAGGCAATGAGCAAGGCAAAGTTGCAAGAGAAGGCCATAGAGCAATTGAATAAGAGTTTAAGGCAAATGCAGAAGAACAATGGGCTGGTAAACTCTACTCGTACTAATAAAAGTATATATAATGATTTTTCAGCAAAACAAAATCCTCTAGTAGAAGAGAAATCAACACAGGTGAAGAGACTCTCTACTGCAGAATGGGAAGAAAGGAAGAAGAAGGGTCTTTGCTTCAACTGTGATGAGAAGTTCACTTATGGTCATAAGTGCAAAAAACTCTTTATGTTTCTGGGTGAAGAATTACAAGAGGAATCCAGTGGAAGTGAAACCATGAGGGAGGATAGAGAAGAGGAATTGGAGCTGTATAAGATTTCAGTGTATGCTTTGGCTGGCCAAGTGTCTCCTACTACCATCAAATTGGTGGGAATGGTGAATAGACAGCCTATTTCTATTCTTGTAGATACTGGCAGCACCCATACTTTTTTAGATCCCAATACTGCCAAGAGGTTGAAATGCATACTTGAGCCAACCTCCCAGTGGAAAGTTTCTGTAGCAGATGGAAGGAAGGTCTTTAGCAAGTACAAATGCTCACAGTTCAAATGGACTGTAGGTCAACACCATTTTCAGGCTGGAGTTAGACTATTGGAGCTTGGGGGTTGTGATTTAGTGATTGGGGTGGATCTTTTGAGGCATTTACAACCTATTACTTTCCATTTCTCCAAGCAAAGAATCACTGCACACTTGAATGGACAGCCCATTATCTTGCAAGGTCCTCAGCCAGCAGTGTCTATGCAAGCCATTTCTGGGGAAAAGATGGAAACCTTGATTAAGAAAGGCAAGGTTATGATTGGGTGTATTTGTATGATAGCTGGGATGGATGGTGAGGATCCAAGAGCCTCTATTACTGAAGCACTCACTGGGGTTTTGCAAGAGTTCTCAGACATCTTTCAAGAACCTACTTCCCTACCACCTAATAGAGGTTGTGAACATTCAATCACCATTAAACCAGAGATGCAGCCATTTAAGATGCAGCCTTATAGATACCCTTATATTCAGAGGAGAGAGATTGAGACAATGGTAGAGGAAATGTTGAAAAGTGGCATTATTCAGCACAGCAATAACCCTTTCTCTTCACCTGTACTACTGGTCAAGAAAAAAGATGGCACATGGAGATTCTGCATTGATTATAGGAAGTTGAATTCCATTACTGTCAAAGATGGATATCCAATCCCTATCATAGATGACTTACTGGATGAACTGCAAGGAGCTAGGATCTTTTCTAAGATTGATCTTAGAGCTGGCTATCACCAAATCAGGGTGAGGCAAGAGGATATCCATAAAACTGCCTTTGTAACAGCTTCTGGCCATTATGAGTTTAAAGTCATGCCCTTTGGATTGACTAATGCACCTGCCACTTTTCAGTCTTTAATGAATGAAATTTTTAGAGCTTATCTAAGGGAATTCATACTGGTTTTTTTTGATGATATATTAGTCTATAGCAAGGATCTCAGCACTCACATTCAGCATCTTCACACCACAATGACTATACTGAGACAGCATCAACTCTATGCTAAATCCTCCAAATGCAGCTTTGGGCAGCAGCAAATTGAGTATTTGGGGCACATTATTACTGCTGATGGGGTAGGTGTTGATCCTAGAAAGATTAATGGAGTTAAGGATTGGCCTCAACCTGCCAATGTCAAAGCTCTTAGGGGGTTTTTAGGCTTGACTGGTTACTATAGAAAATTTGTCAAGCACTATGGTATCATTGCTAAACCCCTCACTGATCTCTTGAGGAAGGGTCAGTTTGAGTGGAGTGAAGCAGCTACTTTGGCATTTGATCAGCTGAAACAAGCTATGTCTACTACTCCTATATTGCAGCTCCCTAATTTTTCTAAAGTCTTCATTGTTGAGACAGATGCTTGTGATTCAGGTATTGGAGATGTTCTGATGCAAGAGGGCCATCCTTTGGCCTTTCTCAGTAAAGCCTTAGGCCCTAAAAGTTTGGGACTTTCTGTATATGAGAAGTTCTTGGCAATTCTGTTAGCTGTTCAAAAGTGGAGAGATTACCTGGTTCATGCCACTTTTGTTATCAGAACTGACCAAAGGAGCCTCAAGTATTTACTTGAGCAGAAGATCACCACCCCTATTCAGCAGAAATATTTGGCTAAACTTCTGGGCTTTAGTTACAAAATTGAGTACAAAAGGGGTTGTGAGAATCAAGAAGCTGATGCCTTATCCAGAGAGATGTGGAGTGTTCTTCTCAGGGTGGGCTTGACTCTTCTCTCACCATGCTCACTGC